GAGGAAGACTATGATCCATGAAGTCTCACTCCATGATGTTTGGACCAAGCGCAGTGGTGGTTATCATCTGACATGCATGCCCAAAAGTTAGGCATGCGAGCAGTGTGGCACTAAAGACAGGGACGTGCAGCTGCCCACATTTGCAGAGGGCAATAGATTGGATGACATCAGAAGCCAACAGTGCCAATGCCATCCAAAAGCTTGAAACTCTTTTTTAACTTTTAGGTAAAACAGTCTTTGTGATCAACTTCTACCAAGTGTATAATTGCACTTTACATGTACTGGCAAGCAAGGTGCAGTTTCAACGTTCTTCCCATTGTGATGAAAATTTGTGATAGTAAAAAAAAAAGGAATAAATATGTCTTGAAGGGGATAAATACATGTATATTGTGGCGGGGTCTCCCCGGGCCAAACTTAAGTTCGTTGGGACCAAGTCTGACACCTATTGGAGTGAAGCTGATCTTCCTGAACCCAAGCTTTCACAAGAAAAGAGACCACTCAGAGCGACCTCAAGGCCTAGGGAGCAGGTCCGTTTTGGAGAAAATATACAGCCGATTATGATTATTGTGATTACCCTCTGTTAATTGCACAATAAACCAACAACAAATACACCTGGATAACAGGAATGTTGGCACCACAAATATAATCGTAATTTATTATACAATAATCAAGAAATATGCAATAGTGATTGAGTCTTAATGAGGTTGTTAATTACCAGGGTCACTTAATTACACTTGGAAGTTAACTGACAGCTCAACTAAGCAGCAACGCGCACAGCTTGAACAATGCGCCCAATGTAAACAATGCACTGCTAAGTCAACAATGTACACTAATGTAAACAATGTACACTTATGTAAACAGTGCACACTAAGTCAACAACGTACACTAATGTAAACAGTGCATACTAAGTCAACAACGTTACTAATGTAAGTAATACACAAATGTAAGTAACATACGCCAATGTAAATAACACACGCCAATGTAAGTAGTGTACGCCGATGTAAATAACACACGCCAATGTAAGCAATGCACGCTAATGTAAGTAATACACGCTGTCAGCCATTTACGCTTTACCCATGCAAGCTAGCGTCAGCATCGCACAGTGCATTCACTTGTACGGCTGCGCGTCAGCATCACACAGCGCAACTTCAGCACAGTTATGGCCAGCACCTTTACACAGTGCGCGTCAGCATTACCCAAAACACAGAGCGCGAGCAATATACGACCTAACCGTCCGCTGTCCACGACAGAACTCCCCCGCGCGATCACGTGAATAGCCCTCACGTGAACATGCATACGCCGTACAAACACATATGCATGTACTAAACCTATGGGCCTTAGGCAACCAAAAGCGTACATGTATTCAGTCACTGGGCTCTTACGTTCCGCCCAGTCACTAACACACCGTGAATTTACGTTATTGCAATAGGAATGAAGTAGTAAATAAACTAGCTATAAGTCCCTACACTTTCCGCTACAATATGTACTTGCACGTTTTTAAATGTACTCATTTAATACCGGCCAAGCACATATATATTCCCAATCATTAATACCTTTCAGTCAAAAAAGTCAAAACACGTCACAAATTCATAATTTCCACCGATTCTGTTTAACAAATGTACCTCCCGTTTTGTGAGACAAAGGCGGGTCTTTTTAGAAAAAAAAAAGCTGTCTAGTAATTTGACTGTTTAAACAAACAAATAAGCAATGGATAAGCGGTAGACCTTATACATTAAGGCCGAGTCAGACGGCAATGATTTTGTATTGCTGAGATAGACATGAGTAAACCTTTCAGGCATTCGTTGTAAATAACTTTAACTAAACGGGGGCTAGAACACCCTCTGATATACCTGCAATGCATAGGTCTGTACACAGCATAACATTTTTTATTCAAATAGTCTTATGCAGAACTTGTATTTAATGGGAAAAATGTAATGAAATGTTGTTCATGAACTATCTTTCTAATAAAATGTAGCATTAAGGAAAGAAAGTAGTTATAAATTTCAAAAGACTTTCAATGGTGTCTCACTGGATATAATATCACATTGGCATAAATTAAAATAGAGTGAACAAAACGGCACGTACAGGTTTCTATGAGACTGGCTTCAAACAAAGATTCGTGAAAAATCAGTGCGAGCTCTTTTCGACACGGAGTTAGAATTTCAAACATTTTATGTTTGGAGGAGGTCACAGTAAGGTGTGCACATTTGGTGTTTGTTTTAGAAGTATTAAACAGAGGAAGAAAACTAGTCAGTGTACAATTAAAGTGATCAGTGGAAGAAAATGGGTGGGTTTTTTTTCCAGCTCAATTGAATCAGTCTGATCGGTTTAATAGAATCTATGAAATTTAAACAGTTTTGTTTGACGTTGCTTCCCTTTGTCTCAAAATATTTCTTGTTGTTGAAGATTTGAAAGGAAGTCAAAGATGTTAATGACATCACTTCCCTCTGTCTGAAAATACACTTCTTTTTAATGCCAAAAAAAGCGTTTTGTAGAAAAATTCTACCACTTCCTTGATGGTGGATATGCTGTGATGTCTGATTGGATGGATGAAACTTGGCCTCCATAAATTATTCAAAAGGTGGGTGGGTGGGTGGGTTGGGGGAGGCTGGTACCATCTTCAAAATAGGGGGCGCTCTTCAAAACCGGCCATTATGCAAGCCACGCGTTATGTGCCCATTTTCAGGGCGCATTGTAAGGGTTTTGGGGCTTGGTTTTCGTATTCCTCATTCATATCAGAACTCTCTTTACCATTTTGGGAATTGGTCACTGAAAACAAATAATCCGAAATTTAAGGGCCAGTTTTGTTTTCATCTCGAGGGGCACATTGATGCTCGAGGGGGGACATTTATGTCTGCAAGAGGGGCACTTGGGTAAATCTGGGGGGGTGGGGTGGCAAGTGCCCCCCCCCCCTTCCGACGCCCCTGGATATTGATAGCACATTTGTCATCAATGTCAAGTTCTGAGTGGGGGTATGCATTGAGGACAGTGGTGCTCAAACCCAGCAGTTGACACCTGTCATTGCTGCATGTGAATGCTGTTCTTAGTGATACATACATGTACAAGTCGTCGACCAGACAAGCTTAATGCACATTCTTTTGGCATATATCACCTTTTTTCATTATTCTTCTAAACTACAATCCTGGCCAAATCTCGCTGGGCCCCCAACCCCCCAGCCCCTGGTCAATGTTGTCTCTCATTGCCCGGTGTGTGCTTCATCCACTGAAGAGAACAACATTGACCGGGGGAGCAGGGGAGTTGGTGACTGTTGGAGGCTAAGGTTATTTCCAAGTGTCCCAACCATTTTGGCCGGGATTGTAGCTTTGGTTTGCATCTGATCTCTTCAGACTTGTCCAAGGAAGTACAATCAGCAGGCAAATAATGTCGTCCAACATGACATGTCTGGTTACTTCAAGTGGTCTTCGTGGTGTTTCTGTATCTAGCTGAATGTCAGAACTCCCAGTATCTCACACATAATCCCAATTTTGCCATGGGGGCTGGATTTTCTAAAGAACAAAATCAATGCGGCCAGTGCGGAGTGCGAAACCCTTATGGCGTGGGGTCCTTGGCCCACTTAAGGGCCTCGGAAAATGTTGGATCCTGAATGCTATGTGGTGCAATCTGTATTTAATGGGGAAAATGTCATGAAATATTATTTGTGAAATATCTATCCGAGAAAATGAATCATAAGGGCAATTAGTAATCAGTTACTTCTCCATAAGAATATGAATAATAAGTTATGAATAGAAATGTCCTTTCACCTCATCATAAATAGAGTGAACAAAATAACAAGATTTTATGAGGCTAGTTTCAAACTCTAATATTTGCCACAAATCAAAGGTAAGCTGTTTGTGCCATGAAGCAAAAACTAAAAAATAACAAAGTTTGAAGGATGTTTTTGTTCAAGTAACATATTAAGCCTTTATTGAGAAGTATTTAAAAGAAACAATTTTTTTCTGATCAATTTAACAAGTCTAATCAGTTAAAAAGATTCCTTTAATAAGTAAAGGAAATCGGTGTTGTTTTCTGACATTACTTCCCTTTGTCTCAAAATAGTTTCTTTTGAAAATGTTAGAGGAAGTCAAAGTTGTTAATGACATCACTTTCCTTTTTGTAGAAATACACTGGTTTTTAATGCCCCATAAAAGGTAATTGTTGGAATAATAGTCAATCACTTCGTTGATAATTGATATGTCGTGATGTCTGATTGGACAATATACAGTACATGATGGGAGGGGCAGAGACAAGGAAGCAGACAATTGGACGAAAAAATTGATATTTAAAATTTGTGTCTGATCAAGGGCTTCAAAACTCCATGGCTAATCACAGTGGATTGTACATCTTCAGTGGGGCTTTGCATTAAGGACAGTGGAGCTGAAACCAATCACTTTACCTGCAGCGTAAGGTGGATGCTGTCCTCAGTGATGTACAAGCCTTCAACCTGCCAAGCTTGATGTGAAATCATCATTGTTCTTTGTTCTACTGAACTTGTTTTCCTGTGCATCTGATCTCTTCAGACTTGTGTGAGGACATACCATTTCCACACGCAATCAGCAGCAAAATGATGTCAGCCAGCATGATGTCTCCAATAGGTTTAGTCTTTGTGATGCTTCTCTATACAGCTGAGGGGAATTTCACAAGTGATCCAAGAAGTCAGACAGTGTACGAGGGGCACAATGTCAGATTTACTTGCAGATCTGCATACATGGCTCAATGTGGTTTTCCAAGGTTCCGTTGGTATAGATCTACCACTAGTCACCCATCACAACAATATGTTTCTGGTTGTATCCAGGTCGATCCTAGTTTAATGAATCGTATGACTGTTGAGCTTGATTTTCAAACCAGGATGTTTCACCTTGACATCCAAAACGTGCAGCTACAAGATGGCGGACAATACTGGTGTCAATTAGTCTATGCCATATACTTGGAGCAGCCTCTCGGATATACATGTAAACTCTTCAATATCCACACTGACAGTAAAATCACGACCTCCTCCTTCTTGCAGGGTAACGTGTCCGTCAAACCCCAGAGTGGGTGACAATGTTTCATTTACATGCACCTTGGCAGAGATTGACCCATCAGCTAATATAACTTGGTACATTAATTCATCAAGTGGCCATTGTCCACTCACTTCTATCCAGGAAGCCCGAGGTCTCGTTTCAAGAGTAAATCGTGTACTGCAAGCAACCGACAACATGAAGGAGTTTGTCTGCGTGGCTGGTCTAGATTTTAACACTGGCCCAAGATGCTCAGTTACACCTCTGCAGATACCGACAAGGGTTTCCATCTCACCAACTTTTCAGTCTGTATATGAGGGAGACAGTGCAGTGTTCACGTGTAATGTCAGAGCCATACCCCCTCTGACAGACGAAGAGTACAGATGGCGAATTTATAAAACTGATGAATCAGAGGTGACAGTTACAGGAGCTACACTGACTAGTTTTGATGGCCGATATAACATGATGGGGAATACTCTGGAGATCCTTGCAGTGTCTGCCGACTTTCACAACTCTTATGTAGCTTGTACAGTGGTTTATCCTCAAGGTTCTTCCAACAGCATCTACAAATCTGTCCTTACAGTTCTCAGTGTTACAACTGTGCTGTCCGCTACATCATCTACAGCCACGACAACAGTACAGTCACCAATTGGAGTGCTTATCGGGGGCGTGTTAGCACTTCTCCTCCTTCTGGTTGTCATCGTCCTTCTTGCCAGCTTCTTGCTCAGATACAAGAGGAAAGTCAGGAGACTTCGTCAGACACTGGCAGGGAATCCTGTTCAGATATCGGCCATTGGTTCATCAGAAGGGACGGACTTGACATACCAGAGCCTTCAAAAAGACATCGGAAATCAGAGAGCAACTGAACTAATGCACATGGATTTGAACCTTCAACAAGGTGAGCGAAACCAAGTCAGACCACAGGCGGGGTCTGAGGTAATGTACAAAAACCTCCCAAGAAATGACCCGAGTTATCCAGACTCGTCAGCAGGTAGAGAAAGACCAGAAGACATCGCAGAAAATGAGACAGGCCTATATGAGAACATTTCTGAGTAGACTAGATGCGGAGAGGAAGACTATGATCCATGAAGTCTCACCCCATGATGTTTGGACCAAGCACAGAGGAGATTATCATCTGACACGCATGCACAAAAGTTAGACATGCGTGCAGTGTGGCACCAAAGACAGGGGCGTGCAGTTGCCCACATTTGCAGTGGACAATAGATTTGATGTCATCAGAAGTCAACAGTGCCCATGCCATCCAAAAGTTTGAAACTCTTTCTGAACTTTTAGGTAAAACAGTCTTAGTGATCAACTTCTACCAAGTGTATAATTGCACTATAGTGGCAAGCAAGGTGCAATTTCAACGTTCTTCCCATTGTGATGAAAATTTGTGATAGTAAAAAAAAAGGGAATAAATATGTCTTGAAGGGGATAAATATATGTACTTGCATGTTTTTAAACGTACTCATTTAATACCAGCCAAGCATATATTTATTCCCATCCATTAATACCTTTCAGTCAAAAAGTCAAAACACGTCACAAATTCACAATTTCCACCGATTCTGTTCAACAAATGTACCTCCCGTTTTGTGAGGCAAAGGCGGGTCTCTTTAGAAAAAAAACTGTCTAGTTATTTGACTGTTTAAACAAACAAATAAGCAATGGATAAGCGGTAGACCTTATACATTAAGGCCGAGTCAGACGGCAATGATTTTGTATTGCTGGGATAGACATAAGTAAACCTTTTCTGCATTCATTGTAAATAATTTTAACTAAACAGGGACTAGAACACCCTCTGATATACCTGCAATGCATAGGTCTGTACACAGAATAACATTTATTTTTTTCAAAGTGTCTTATGCAGAACTTGTAATTAATGGGAAAATGTAATGAAATGTTGTTCATGAAATATCTTTCTAATAAAATGTAGCATTAAGGAATGAAAATAGTTAAATATTCTTTAAAAGACTTTCAATGGTGTCTCACTGGATATGTTATCACATTGCCATCAATTAAAATAGAGTGAACAAAACGGCACGTACAGGATTCTATGAGACTGGCTTCAAACATAAAGATTTGTGAAAAATCAGTGCGAGCTCGTTTCGACACGGATTAAGAATTTCAAAAGTTCATGTTTGGAGGAGGTCAAAGTAAGGAGTTCACATTTGGTCTTTGTTTTAGAAGTATTAAACAGAGGAAGAAAACTAGTCAGTGTACAATTAAAGTGATCAGTGGAAGAAAATGGATGTTTTTTTTTCAGCTCAATTGAATCAGTCTGATCGGTTTCATAGAATCTATGAAATTTAAAAAGTTTTGTTTGACGTTGCTTCCCTTTGTCTCAAAATATTTTTTTGTTGAAGATTTTAAAGGAAGTCAAAGATGTTAATGACGTCACTTCCCTCTGTCTGAAAATACACTTCTTTTTAATGCCAAAAAATGGCGTTTTGTAAAAATAGTCGACCACTTCCTTGATGGTGGATATGCTGTGATGTCTGATTGGATGGATGAAACTTGGCCTCCGTAAATTGTTCAAAAGATGGGTGGGTGGGTTGGGGGAGGCTGGTACCCTCTTCAAAATAGGGGGCGCTCTTCAAAACCGGCCATTATGCAAGCTACGCATTATGTGCCCATTTTCAGGCGCATTATAAGGGTTTGGGGGCTTGGTTTTCATATTCCTCGTTCATATCAGAACTCTCTATACCACTGTGGGAAATGGTTACTGAAAACAAATTATCCAGAATTTTAGGGCCAGTTTTGTTTTCATCTCGAGAGGCACATTGATGCTCGAGGGGGGACATTTATGTCTGCAAGAGGGGCACTTGGATAAATCTGGGGGAGGGGGCAACCCCCTTCCGACGCCCTTGGATATTGTTAGCACATTTGTTGTCAATGTCAAGTTCTGAGTGGGGGTATGCATTGAGGACAGTGGTGCTCAAACCCAGCTTTAGACACATGTCATTGCTGCATGAGGTGAATGCTGTTCTTAGTGATACATACATGTACAAGTCGTCGACCAGACAAGCTTAATGCACCTTCTTTGGCATATATGACCTTTTTTCATTATTCTTCTAAACTACAATCCTGGCCAAATCTCGCTGGGCCCCCAACCCCCCAGCCCCCGGTCAATGTTGTCTCTCATTGCGCGGTGTGTGCTCCATCCGCTGGAGAGAACAACATTGACCGGGGGAGCAGGGGAGTTGGTGACCGTTGGAGGCTAAGGTTATTTCCAAGTGTCCCAACCATTTTGGCCGGGATTGTAGCTTTGGTTTGCATCTGATCTCTTCCGACTTGTCCATGGAAGTACTACAAGAACAATCAGCAGGCAAATAATGTCATCCAACATGACATGTCTGGTTACTTTGGTCTTTGTGGTGTTTCTGTATCTAGCTGAATGTCAGATCTCCCAGAATCTCACACATAATCCCAATTTTGCCAGGGGGTGCTGGATTTTCTAAAGAACAAAATTAATGCGGCCAGTGCAGAGTGCGAAACCCTTACAGCGTTGGGTCTGTGGCCCACTTAAGGGCCTCGGAAAATGTTGGATTCTGGATGCTATGTGGTGCGATCTGTATTTAATGGGGAAAATGTCATAAAATATTATTTGTGAAATATCTATCCGAGAACATGTTGCATAAGGGCAATTAGTGATCAGTTACTTCTCCTCCAAAGAATATGAGTAATAAGTTATGAATAGAAATGTCTTATCACCTCATCATCAATAGAGTGAACAAAATAACAGTTACAGGATTTTATGAGGCTGGTTTGAAACTCTAATATTTGCGACAAAGCAAAGGGAAGCTCATTGTCAGATTGTGGCAGGAAACAAAAACTAAAAAATAACAAAGTTTGAAGGTTGTTTTTGTTCAAGTGAACATATTAAGCCTTTGTAGAGAAGTATTTATAAAGAAATAATTTTCTTTTTCTGATCAATTTAACAAGTCTAATCAGTTTAAAAGACTCCTTTAATAAGTAAACAAGGAAATCAGTGTTGTTTCTGACATTACTTCCCTTTGTCTCAAAATAGTTTCTGTTGAAAATGTAAGAGGAAGTCAAAGTTGTTAATGACATCACTTTCCTTTTTGTAGAAATACACTGGTTTTTAATGCCCCATAAAAGGTAATTGTTGGAATAATAGTCAATCACTTCCTTGATAATTGATATGTCGTGATGTCTGATTGGACAATATACAGTACATGATGGGAGGGGCAGAGACAAGGAAGCAGACGATTGGACAAAAAAATTGATATTTAAAATTTGTGTGTTATCAAGAGCTTAAAAACTCCATGGCTAATCACAGTGGATAGTTCATCGTCAGTGGGGTATGCATTAAGGACAGTGGAGCTGAAACCAATCACTTTACCTGCAGCGTAAGGTGGATGCTGTCCTCAGTGATGTACGAGCCTTCAACCTGCCAAACTTGATGTGAAACCACCGTTGTTCTTTGTTCTACTGAACTTGTTTTCCTGTGCATCTGATCTCTTCAGACTTGTCTGTTTCCACACGCAATCAGCAGCAAAATGATGTCAGCCAGCATGATGTCTCCAATAGGTTTAGTCTTTGTGATGCTTCTCTATACAGCTGAGGGGGTTTTCACAATCCATCCAAGAAATCAGACAGTATATGAGGGGGACAATGTCACATTAACTTGCGGATCTGAATACATGACTCAATGTAATTATCAAAGATTCTATTGGTGTAGATCTACCACTAGTCACCCAGCACAGCAATATGTTTCTGGTTGTATCCAGGTCGTTCCTAGTTTAAGGAATCGTATGACTGTTGAGCTTGATGTACTAACCAGGGTGTTTCACCTCAACATCCAAAACGTGCAGCTACAGGACGGCGGACAATACTGGTGTCAATTATTCTATGCTCAGAACAGCCACTTAAATAAAAACTCTTCAAAAGCCACACTGACAGTAATCCCACGACCTCCTCCTTCTTGCATGGTAACAAGTCCGTCAAACCCAAGAGTGGGTGACAATGTTTCATTTACATGCACCTTGGCAGGGAGTGACCCATCAGCTGCTATAACTTGGCACATTAATTCATCAAGTGGCCATCGTCCACTCACTTCTATCCAGGAAGTCCGAGAAGGTCGCGTTTCAAGAGTAAATCGAGTACTGCAAGCAACCGACAACATGAAAGAGTTTGTCTGCGTGGCTGGTCTAGATTTTAACACTGGCCCAAGATGCTCAGTTACACCTCTGCAGATACCGACAAGGGTTTCCATCTCACCAACTTTTCAGTCTGTATATGAGGGAGACAGTGCAGTGTTCACGTGTAATGTCAGAGCCATACCCCCTCTGACAGACGAAGAGTACAGATGGCGAATTTATAAAACTGATGAATCAGAGGTGACAGTTACAGGAGCTACACTGACTAGTTTTGATGGCCGATATAACATGATGGGGAATACTCTGGAGATCCTTGCAGTGTCTGCCGACTTTCATAACTCTTATATAACTTGTACAGCCATTTATCCTCAAGATTCGTCCATCAGCATCAACAGATCTCTCCTTACAGTTCTCAGTGTTACAACTGTGCTGTCCGCTACATCATCTACAGCCACGGCAACAGTACAGGAGTCCAAGGATCCAAGTGTCCTCCAAACGGAAGAAACTCACTTTGGGGTGAAAACTCCCGACCACTATTCCACCAGTGTCAGGACCACAATTACTAATGAACTCAAGGAGGAGGATGATACTTGTTTATGTCAGATAATACCAATTGGAGTGCTAATCGGGGGCGTGTTAGCACTTCTTCTACTTCTGGTTGTCATCATCCTTCTTGCCAGCTTCTTGCTCAGATACAAGAGGAAAGTCAGGAGACTTCGTCAGACACTGGCAGGGAATCCTGTTCAGATATCAGCCATTGGTTCATCAGAAGGGATGGACTTGACATACCAGAGCCTTCAAAAAGACGTCGGAAATCAGGGAGCAACTGAACTAACGTACATGGATTTGAACCTTCAACAAGGCGAGGGAAACCAAGTCAGACCACAGGCGGAGTCTGAAGTAAGCTACAAAAACCTCCCAAGAAATGACCCGAGTTATCCAGACTCGTCAGCATGTAGAGAAAGACCAGAGGACATGGCAGAAAATGAGACAGGCCTATATGAGAACATTTCTGAGTAGACTAGATACGGAGAGGAAGACTTTGATCCATGAAGTCTCACCCCACGATGTTTGGACCAAGCACAGTGGTGATCACATCTGACACGCATGCACAAAAGTTAGACATGCGTGCAGTGTGGCACTAAAGACAGGGACGTGTAGTTGCCCACATTTGCAGAGGGCAATAGATTTGATGTCATCAAAAGCCAACAGTGCCCATGCCATCCAAAAGTTTGAAACTCTTTCTAAACATTTTAGGTTCAACAGTCTTTGTGACCAACTTCTACCAAGTGTATAATTGCACTATAGTGGCAAGCAAAGTGCAATTTCAACATTCTTCCCATTGTGATGAAAATTTGTGATAGTGAAAAAAAAAGGGAATAAATATGTCTTGAAGGGGATAAATATGTACTTGCACGTTTTTAAACGTACTCATTTAATACCGACCAAGCACATATTTATTCCCATTCATTAATACCTTTCAGTCAAAAAGTCAGAACACGTCACAAATTCATAATTTCCACCGATTCTGTTCAACAAATGTACCTCCCGTTTTGTGAGACAAAGGCGGGTCTTTTTAGAGAAAAAAAACTGTCTAGTAATTTGACTGTTTAAACAAACAAACAAGCAATGGACAAGTGGTAGACCTTATACATTACGGTTGAGTCAGACGGCAATGATTTTGTATTGCTGAGATAGACATGGCTAAACCTTTCAGGCATTCATTGTAAATAACTTTAACTAAACAGGGGCTAGAACACCCTCTGATATACCTGCAATGCATAGGTCTGTACACAGAATAACATTTTTTCTTCAAATTGTCTGATGCAGAACTTGTAATTAATGGGAAAAATGTAATGAAATGTTGTTCATGAAATATCTTTCTAATAAAATGTAGCATTAAGGAAAGAGAGTAGTTATAAATTCTTTAAAAGACTTTCAATGGTGTCTGACTGGATATGTTATCACATTGGCATTAAATTAAAATAGATTGAACAAAACGACAAGTACATAATTCTATGAGGCTGGCTTCAAACATAAAGATTTGTGACAAATCAATGCGAGCTCTTTTCGACACGGAGTAAGAATTTCAAAAGTTTCATGTTTGGAGGAGGTCAAAGTTAGGTGTGCACATTTGGTCTTTGTTTTAGAAGTATTAAAAAGAGGAAGAAAGCTAGTCAGTGTAGGATTAAGGAAACTGATCAGTGAAAGAAAATGGGTGGTTTTTATGCCCCGCGGCGAAGCCGAAGGGGCATACTGTTTCCGCCTTGTCCTTCCGTGGGTGGGTGGGTGTGTGGGTGTGTGTGAGAATGGGTGGGTGGGTGTGTGTGTGTGTCCGGACAAATCTTGTCAGCGCGATAACTTGAGAAATACCTAATATATGAACTTCAAATTTGGTTTGTGGATTGTCCTTGGTAATCCTAAGAAGCCTTTTGCATTTGGGGCCGAAAGGTCAAGGGTCAAGGTCACAGTGGCTGAAACAATAGAAATTTTGTCAGCGTGATAACTTGAGATATTCTTTACATATGAACTTCAAATTTGGTTTGTGGATTGTCCTTGGCAATCCTAAGGACCCTATCGCATTGGGGGTCGAAAGGTCAAGGGTCAAGGTCACATATTTATTCTGAGATCATAGGGATTAGGGATTAATTCATATAAAACCTACAGAAGACACTAATGCTGTCAATGAACGTTCCATTTGACCAAGGTACATGTAAGTTGATGTTAGAGTGGTGTTATGTCATGGAAACAGTCACGGTTGCGGGGCATTTGTGTTTGTAAACACACCTGACTTGTTTGTTTTTGTTTTTAGCTCATTTGAGCCAGGCTGATGGGTTTAATAGAATCTATGAAATTTAAAAAGGAAGTAAAAGTTTTTCCTGACATTTCTTCCCTTTGTCTCAAAATATTTTTTGTTGAAGATTTGAAAGGAAGTCAAAGATATAACTGACATCACTTCCCTCTGTCTGAAAATACACTTCTTTTTAATGCCAAAAATGGCGTTTTGTAAAACAATTTGACCACTTCCTCGATGGTGGATATGCTGTGATGTCTGATTGGATGGATGAAACTTGGCCTCCATAAATTCAAAAGGTGGGTGGGTGGGTTGGGGAGGCTGGTACCATCTTCAAAATAGGGGGCGCTATTCAAAACCGGCCATTATGCAAGCTACGCATTATGTGCCCATTTTCAGGCGCATTATAAGGGTTTGGAGGCTTGGTTTTCATATTCCTCGTTCATATCAGAACTCTCTATACCACTTTGGGAAATGGTTACTGAAAACAAATTATCCAGAATGTTAGGGCCAGTTTTGTTTTCATCTCGAAAGGCACATTGATGCTCGAGGGGGGACATTTGTATGTCTGCAAGAGGGGCACTTGGGCAAGTGCCCCCCCCCCCCCTTCCGACGCCCCTGGATATTTTCTGTTTTAGCCTCTGAAGAAGAACTTGCTAAGTTCGCAACGTCAGGCCACATTAATTTTAATATTTATATATTTCAGGTCCATCCAGTCAGTAAGCAGTTTGCAGCAGTTTTACTTCTTTTCATGCCCCTGGATATTGTTAGCACATTTGTTGTCAATGTCAAGTTCTGAGTGGGGGTATGCATTGAGGACAGTGGTGCTCAAACCCAGCAGTTGACACCTGTCCTTGCTGCATGTGAATGCTGTTCTTAGTGATACATACATGTACAAGCCTTCGACCAGAAAAGCTTAATGCACATTCTTTTGGCATATATGACCTTTTTTTTCATTATTCTTCTAAACTACAATCCTGGCCAAATCTCGCTGGGCCCCCAACCCCCCAGCCCCCGCCCAATGTTGTCTCTCATTGCGCGGTGTGTGTTCCATCCGCTGAAGAGAACAACATTGACCGGGGGAGCAGGGGAGTTGGTGACCGTTGGAGGCTAAGGTTATTTCCAAGTGTCCCATCCATTTGGCCGGGATTGTAGCTTTGGTTTGCATCTGATCTCTTCAGACTTGTCTAAGGATATACAATCAGCAGACAAATAATGTCGTCCAACATGACATGTCTGGTTGCTTTGGTCTTTGTAGTGTTTCTGTATCTAGCTGAATGTCAGATCTTCCAGTATCTCAAACATAATCCCAATTTTGCCAGGGGGTGCTGGATTTTCTAAAGAACAAAATTAATGCGGCCAGTGCAGAGTGCAAAACCCTTACGGCGTGGGGTCCCTGGCCCACTTAAGGGCCCTGGAAAATGTTGGATTCTGGATGCCATGTGGTGCAATCTGTATTTAATGGGGAAAATGTCATGAAATATTATTTATGAGAAAATCCATCCGAGAAAATGTAGCATAAGGGCAATAAATAATCAGTTACTTCTCCTCCATAAGAATATGAATAATAAGTTATGAATAGAAATGTCTTATCACCTCATTATAAATAGAGTGAACAAAATAACAGTTACAGGATTTTATGAGGCGCTGGTTTTAAACTCTGATATTTGCGACGAAGCAAAGGGAAGCTCATTGTAGCAGGAAGCAGAAACTAAAAAATTACAAAGTTTGAAGGATATTTTGTTCAAGTAAAGATACTCGGCCTTTGTTTAGAAGTATTTAAAAGATACTTTTTTTTCTGATCAATTTAACAAGTCTAATCAGTTTAAAAGATTCCTTCAATAATTAAACAGAGGAAATCAGTGTTGTTTTCTGACATTACTTCCCTTTGTCTCAAAATATTTTCTTTTGAAAATGTAAGAGGAAATCAAAGTTGTTAATGACATCACTTTCCTTTTTGTAGAAATACACTGGTTTTTAATGCCCCATAAAAGGTCATTTTTTTAATTAATAGTCAACCACTTCCGTGATTGTGGATGTGTTGTGATGTCTGATTGGATACAAATATTACACCCTGGATATGATGGGAGGGGTCGAGACAAGGAAGCAGACGATTGAAAAAAAAATTGATATTTAAAAGTTGTGTCTTCATCAAGGGCTTCAAAACTACATGGCTAATCGTAGTGGATAGTACATCTTCAATGGGGCTATGCATTAAGGACTGTGGAGCTGAAACCAATCACTTTACCTGCAGCGTAAGGTGGATGCTGTCCTCAGTGATGTACGAGCCTTCAACCTGCCAAGCTTGATGTGAAACCACCGTTGTTCTTTGTTCTACTGAACTTGTTTTCCTGTGCATCTGATCTCTTCAGACTTGTGTGAGGACACACCATTTCCACACGCAATCAGCAGTGAAATGATGCTACCCAACATGATGTCTTCAATTGGTTTAGTCTTTGTGATGCTTCTCTATACAGCTGAGGGGGATTTCACAAGCAATCCCAGAAGTCGTGCAGTATATGAGGGGGACAATGTCAGATTTACTTGTGGATCTGCATACATGACTCAATGTCTTTATCCAAGTTTCCGTTGGTATAGATCTACCACTAGTCACCCATCACAACAAAATGTTTCTGGTTGTTACCAGGTCAATCATATTTTAAGGAATCGTATAACTGTTGACCTTGATATACAAACCAGGATGTTTCACCTTGACATCCAAAATGTGCAGCTTCAAGATGGTGGACGATACTGGTGTCAATTATTCTATGATCAGAACATCTACCCACATATAAACTCTTTAAAAGCCACACTGACAGTAATCCCACGATCTCCTTCTTGCATGGTAACAAGTCCGTCAAACCCAAGAGTGGGTGACAATGTTTCATTTACTTGCACCTTGGAAGGGATCGACCCATCAGCTGCTATAACTTGGTATATTAATTCATCAAGTGGCCATCGTCCACTCACTTCTATCCAGGAAGCCCGAGAAGGTCGCGTTTCAAGAGTTAATCGAGTACTGCAAGCAACTGACAACATGAAGGAGTTTGTCTGCGTGGCTGGTCCAGACTTGAACACTGGCCCAACATGCTCAGTTACACCTCTGCAGATACCACCGAAGGTCTCCATCTCACCAACTTTTGAATATGTATATGAGGGAGAAAGTGCAGTGTTCACATGTAATGTAGAAGCGATACCCCCACTGATAGTTGAAAAGTACAGATGGCGAATTTGTAAAACTGATGGATCAGAGGTGAGAGTTCAAGGAGCTACACTGACTAGTTTTGATGGCCGATATAACATGATGGGGAATACTCTGGAGATCCTTGCAGTGTCTGCCGACTTTAATAACTCTAATGTAACTTGTAAAGCCGTTTATCCTCAAGGTTCTGCGAACAGCATCTACAGATCTGTCCTTACAGTTCTCAGTGTTACAACTGTGCTGTCATCTGCAGCCACGGCAATAGT